GCGCGTTTGCCCTGCCTGCGAGGAGATTTACGTTGTGTATTCGGTGTGATTGCTGCGAGCCTGGACAGCAAACGCTACCGCACCAGGTCGTCGCTGGCAGTGTCGGAAACACCTTGAGAAGATTCGCTATGCTCGCCCATTGCCTTGTTATCTGTCCTAGCAACTCTTAACACCGTATCAGCAGCGGAAGAATGTTTCACGTAGCTCTCAGCGCTGTTTCGAATCTTCTTTCTCACATTTTCAGCCGCGTTCACAGCATTCCAGTGTGCTTTTGTTTCTCGATACAACGCTTTAGAAAATTATGAATAAATATCAGAGACCTGATATATCATAAACTGCTGAAACTTCATAGGAGTCCCAAGGAACATCTGGTATGGAAAGTGATCAATAACTTCGCAGCGAAACTTTCTGAATATTTCTACCATGATCCTTCAACGACTCGCCAAATTTAACCGTTGTTCATCAAATCATCCTAAATAATGTATTAATTCAAAGCTAAATTAAAATTTCAACATCGCAACTGGCAGTTATATTTAACAGAAGGGTTGAAACACCCTATTTTAAGACGTACTGCGTCTGAGAGAAGTATGACTTTATTGTCATTATACCCAGGTGTTTTGTTTAGAAAAAATTTACAAAGTACAGAGTATGCAATCCGCTACCATTTTTGTAAACCACGTGAGTAATCACTAACTGTATTGCTCAAACAAACGTTTAAATACAGTAACCGACCATATAAGAAATCTTATTGCTGATGTGTTTTCCCGAGCATATAAATAGCGCATAAAATAAAATAAAGAAAAATGTCCGGCAAGGATCGTCACCTAACCTTTTTGCAGTAATTCTTAATGCACAAGCACTAATCACATTCCTCTGCGATATGAACTCTCGCGAAAAGAAACAGAATCTTTATTGCTGTTTCTTTTGCATATTATTACTTATGGTTTAAGGATATGCTGCCAAACAAATTTTTCGGATAGAGCGTCTCCATAAATAATACAAAATTAATAACTAAAATCGTTTCGCGGTCCCTAAGAGGACCGTTGTGAGAATCTATTTCTGATAATAAAGGAAAGTTTGAAATAAAAAACGGAATGAAGTAAAAAGAAATTTAATTGTGTTTCACTATTCATTATAATCAATTATTAATATAGCAGTCATTTTTCACGGGTTATCCCTCGTGATGTATGTAAAATTTCCTGTATTTTATGATATGTACATGATATCTACAGACTTTTTTGGATATATGAGTTTAATTAGAGATGTTCCCCCACTTCTAATAAGAAATATATTTGATATACCATTTGAATATTCGAATATCAGTACGTGCTTCGAGTTGTAACAAATGGATAACTGACAATTTCCGAATATTCGTTTTTTTTCTTTAAAACCCATACAAGAAGGCTTGTTATGACCTACAAATATATTGCAATCCATACGTTTAGTATTTTAATTTTCCAGTAGATTAAAACGAAAACATTGCAAATGCTGCAGATCGTATTCCTAGAATGTAAACTAAACTTACAATACAATATGAGTATTTCGTGACAAGAAACTCATGTTTCGTATTTTATGCCAAATTGTTTTAATATAATTATTATGTTGACTTTATTAGAAATATAATCTCATCGATGTATTTAAATAAATGAGTGTGTAATAAAAATGCGTTTTTGAAAGTATCTTCTTTACTAAGCTCCTCCTGACTCCAGTGGTGACGCAAGTGCACCCGCTTGTTGACAACAGATGAGCAGCCGTGAGCTACTCACAGAACTGTGTACAGACTAAGAGCATCTTGCACAATTTTACACCTAGTTGAGACTTACACAGCGGATGACAAAATTGTTTCACACGACCTTGCGCTGCTAGTAAACATTCATTGTGCTTTTAAAATATGCGCATGACTTCAGAGAAAGTAGTGTCGTCCTTGATATGTAGTAAAGCATTGTGAATATTGAAACATGTAAGAACACTCCTTAAATTTAGCAACCCACTACACAAAGAGCCAGTTCTGGAAATAGACGTACGTATTTCCAACAGTCTTTTCATTTTGATAGCTTTCGGTGCATTAACATTAAATCTAGTTGAAGAAAAGTGTGCATGACAAAAAGAAATCCTGAGGCATTAAATACAAAAATCAAAATGATAAACGCAAATGCAAGTTGAGAGAGAGTTATGAATCATCGTGAATGTAAAGATGCACTGAAAGTTTAAGAAGATTTGATGGTGAGGGAAGCTGGAAGTACTAGGATTTTCTAATGAGTCAAAAAGATGAGGGCGAGAAACGGTGGAAAATGATATACGAGTGAAGTAAAAAAGCGAGGGTTCATGTTGATTTGCTCATTAAGTATTGTATCGACATATTAAATATTTAAATGCATATTGGAGTTTTCGAGGTTAATACTGTTTTTCACCTTTTCAGGTACGTGTTTATTTGAGAGAGGACCGGCGCTGCGACATGTTTCAAGTAAGTGTATAGAACCATGTGCATTTTGGAAGCTTGTATTAATACTTTTGTTTTCGAGTAAAAACTCTTGACACGGATGCCCTATTTACGAAGGGCAAAATAACAACTGAAATAATTTTCAACGTTAGAAATTGTACCTTTTACCACAGTGTATGTCAACAGAAGAGATTTATGTGTCTTAAAACTCATAAAAATGCAAATGAAATGTCTATTCCCACACGTAATGAGGAAAAAATGTATTTTGTACACAACACTGGAAAAAAATCAGAAGCCTTACAATATTCAACAGTAAGCCAATGGTTGAAAAATTACGGAAAATATGTCGAAAATAATAGACTTTGAGAACAGTAAAGCATTTAAATGTCTTTAATCATCGCAAGTACCTAGGCTGATACTTTACTGTACCACCTTAATAATTTGAGGAGAAAAAAATTCTATAAGTTTTTCATAAAATAAACGTATTTTATAGTATTGTACTAGCTGGAAATTTCTCATTTAGGGAATTCCCTGACTTACTGGATTGTTCTGTAATATAATGCGCATAAAATTTTTCTTGTTCCTATTTTAATGTTTCTTGGGGGCGTATTTTGATGACCTAAACATAGCCAAAAACGATCAATAAAATGCTCTTGAAATACTTTTAAAATGCCCTAAGAACAGAGAAAAATGACGTAAAAAAATTGAGCAAAACCACTCGAGATATACAACTAACCGTTGTGTATGTTACTGATCTAATCGATGCTTCTTCCTTTTGTTCAAGTGAATTCATAATGCAAACGTTTAGTTTGGAATGTTCTTTAAAAGAAAATATCTGCCTTTATACGAGTAAATCGCGAAATCGGCCGAACTGACAATGGCGCTGACAACGTCACAGGAACCTTAGATTTCATAGTACAACGGCTGACATTACAATATACGAGCGAATAAATCGAATAGGTTACTCGGAATTCTGTAGTGAACATTTGTTGAATGTCGTAAATATTGTTTGAAGCAAGTACCATTAAATTTGATGATATCAGCGAAAAACGCGTTCAAAATGACTTAGCCGAAATCGACGAAAAGTGCAAAAAAAAAAAAAAATAAATAAAATAAATTACATAAAAAACCGGTTATTTCGTTTTGCCATAACATAAAATGAATTTCTATACTGAACGGCATTGCTCAAAAGTGAAAAGAAAAATTACATTTCATTAAAATCTACCCCCCTATTGTGAATATCTGCTAAGAAACGCGCCTATTTATTTGTTAAGATTACAGAGGATTTGCTGCAATACTCTCGAGTAAGGAGGGTTGCCTAGTCTTGGGCGTCACCTCACAAGGTCGATTTCTTGTGTATCTTTCAAGTAAGTAGGTAGGTCTACTGAATATGTTAGTTTGTAAACCCTGAATACTTGAAGTTTGTAAAGCCTGAATACTGATTCATTGGTTTATCCCATAAAATGGGATGAATTTTCTCGGAATTTTGAGCTATAACCCTCTCAGAGTTACCGGTAAATTTAGTAATAACAATCTAATAATTGCCATACAGAAGCGCCACAATAATGGTCCCAATAATATTTATCCATTTCTTGTGGCAATCACAGTGTAAGCGAGTATGGGATCTGACTAGAACGAGTATAGTCAGAGGATTTGATCTGGCCGTGCTTTTAACCAGGGTCTTTTTCGTAAAAGAACCACAAAGTCACTGTGGATTTTTCGATTCTCGAAAATTCTCCGTCCTCGATGCTACCCGCGCTCTGGAGGGTGAGTTACCAGCCAGTAACGCTCAACCACCGAGGTACGTGAATTTAATGCCAAACCCATGTTCATAATTATTTATTAGCCGCAAAAGAGAGTACAATAACAGGGATCTGATTTCTTCGTTTCCGTTGTGACAGGTTGTTTTTCATGACTTATTTTATTTCATGTATTCAGTAAAAAATTGAAAATGTGACGCTTGGAAGAAAATTCTAGATATTAGTTCAGGTTGCCGAAGTAACGTCAACCACGCCAATGAGTGGTCTGAATCATAGGATTATATTCGCCGATGGTCGTTGCAGCACGACCAATGTAACTTTAATTAAATAATAAAATGTATGAACGGTAATGGCATATAATTAGTAATTCACGAAAGTAATATTGCATTAACGTCGACATTAAATTTAAAAAATGTTATTTCATTTGCTAGGTTAACTAAATCCATTGCTAGGTTAGGCAGTCAATTAAATAATTATAGTAAAGATAATTAAACCTCCCCAAATTATTTCTGAAATGTTTACTTTAACTATAGATCACAAAATTTGAATTATAATCATTATGACCTCGGGAAACTCTCAATAAACTAATTGTGCATTTGTTGTTCAATGATGTTACTCAACTTCTATGATATAATATATATTTATTTTCAAATACGTCAGTATTAACACATACAATACATTATTTTTGATGTCACTGCTCTTAGAATTTAATTTTTACGATTTATTTCATTATTTGGACTTTGGAAGATAATTTACATCACTATAGAAGTATGAAAGTAATACAAAGTTTTTTTAATTACCTGTCTATGCACGTCCCGAGATGAGTTCCATTTGCTCTACTGCAAGAAAGAGCAAACATACAAACTCCTTGCTCGGCTGTTCGCCGGCTCACGCATGGCAGATGCCTAATATTTCGTCCGGAACCTGTCAAAGAAAAAACTTAATTAAAACTCAATCATAAATTAACACATTAGAAAACATTTAAATGTTTCCTTGACAAGTTTATAATGCTGTAATGAAGGCAAATAGTGAATATGTACCAAGATACATTACTTTAAGTGATTTAGTATATCATAATTTTTTTTTAATAGACGGATAAAATGTTCATATCACAAGTAGCATTGTTGAGCAGAGATATTTACAAATCGAGACCAAACATAAATGTTCTTATTAAAGTATAGAAATTTTGTCTTTTGCTTAGCGAGGATAGAACATTTAAAAATTAAAAATGTAGATTTGAAGTTGTCTTCTCGATTTTACAGCAGTCAAATATATTTATAAATATTATAAGTTATTTAATTCTTCAGTTAATTCAAGGTTCCAGAAGTAGTGCTATTCGAAATGACGCACACGGTACTAAATGCGATAAAATATAATATTTCTTTGTTTCCTACAAAAATGATGTTCCAAAATCATAATTGTAAAGTACTTATTGAAAACATGTTTTATTTTCAAACTTTAAACTCATTTTTGATTTTCTTTTTTATGAGATTTCGTTTTTAGAAGAGACTGCAGATTGTCTGATCTAAGTTCATCTTGGACAATTGTGGACTCACTTGTGCTTTTATTACATTACACACTGCAAATTGATAGAATTAGCAATTATGTAGATCGTAGACCCGGATATATGAAGTGCAAAATGAATAATAGTTTAAATATATTAGTAAAATCTTTCAACAATTTATCATTTCCTTTAAGTTGATTAATGCTCTGACAATATTAATATATTATATCCACTCATATGTTCTTCAATCGTCCTTCGGAGTGGCCGGATAATGAAAGACAGAATGGCAGAGGGAAGTACATTATGCTAGTATACTCTATGAAAAATGCAGATGTAGCGTTTTGTACTTCGTGAATCCTCTCTGCCAGGCGCCGGGTCAAAACACACCACATCGAGCAATCACCCTACTCGTAAATCAAAGGAGATGGCGGGTGGGCAGGTTTATTGTCGAATAGAAGGTATCCTCGAGGCACAAATGCGCACGCTCTTGTTCCTTTCCTCTTTAAGGACAGGTCGTGTAACATACTCCACTGTCTGGTAGGTATACGACCCAACGAATTATGCGATTGTAGTGTGGCTCGACCGCTGTATTATCTGTGATAAAAAAGCTTGGTAGCCTAAAAGAACATTTGAAGTTTAAATGCATGCTCATTCAGAAAAGACAAAAAACAAGAGCTGTCACAGATGAGTTTGATAAAAGTGAATACGTACACCGCTGTACTACACAGACAGGATACTAAGAATTATATGTTTTTATGCACGCAGCAATTGTTGTTTTAACTTATGCTTAATTTTCATACCGCTACGATTATTACAACTAATTGCTCACGCCAATGGTAAATATTAAAAAGTGATTAAAAAATAATCACGCTTTTGATCATTGTTTTGAATTGCTTATCTTGATATTCTAAATAATATATACTATAAAGCATATTTAACCTTATCAATGGATTTTTAATTCTTTCTACAATATTGTATTGTGAGTCATCACAAAACCATGACGTCAGGGCCATGAGTTATCGTCAGCCAAATTGGAATTTCTTATGTAATAACATTAACTAATAAATGATAACTAATTCGAAATGTTTATTCCAAGCATTCAGATTGGGCACATTATTTTCAGAAAATCTGAAAAAAATGGCGAATGTTTAAATTTTACTGCGCAGAGCGGTCTAAAACATCTAACGTATTTTCATAAAAATTAGGCCCCAATAGAAACTGAGAAAGACCGCTATTCTTTGAGAAATCCTTCACTGTTGTATCGCCAGTATGGAACAAAACAGGGGAATGAAAATCCACTCGTAGCGGACGGCGTCCATTAGGAACAACAATCGAAACGAGTGAGTTCTAGTAAAGTATGGCACTTGAGAACTATGCAAAGTAAAAGTATTTTTTTATTATTATCTTTTGTTATTCTGGAACATAGAACTTGTCCCGGTTGGAGCGGTGCCCACTTGGGGAGATACCTAAAGTGGTACAATATTGAAAATAGACATTTTTATTTTAAACAAAATTTGTTTTAGAAAAGTGAAATCTTTAGAAAAGATCATGCTTAATTTTATAACACGAGCAGTTTTTGCGTAATTTCTGCTTGTATTTCATGCAATTTATAAAATAAATCAGTTTCTCAAGAACGGCTATATATTTTTAAATCTCCCAAGGATAGAACAAAGGACGCTTAAAAGAATGTCACATATCTCGTTTTCGTTGAACTCTTTGAATTTTCGAAAATTTCAAAGTTAGAAATAATGCTAGAAAGTATGTTCTGTTGTAGCAACTAGTTTTTGAATTAGAATGACTTGTTCTTCCGTAGTGCGTAAAAAGATAAAATTTCAAAGTCAGTAATTGTATGTTTCTTTCAAAATATTTAGAAATGGTAAATGGATAAAATTTTAGATCACATAGAGATTGCTCAATAGTTTTATTAAACCAAACTGTTCCAATTTTTACCAGCTTACGGTTACATTCAGAACATTAAGACTTCACGACTTGGCACTTACGACAATATGCGTCATTGATAAATGTCGGTCAGTAAACACTCTGATTTTCAGAGTTACCGAATTCTGGAAACGTTGCCTCCTGTCAAGGGTGAAACACCTGTAAAGGGGGTTACGTTGTGAATGTTAAGCGTCCCGAAAGGGGAGCGGTGAGAGGTAGAGCCCCGGAAAGCAGAGGCAAGTACCGCTGGCGCTTTGCGTGAGCTGAATGAGAAAATCACTCGGAACCGTGCACGCACACAGGTCGACATCACGACCGGAATCGACCTTGAGGTTTTCTGCATTCGAGAAACGAGGTGGACTCTTTATTGGTTTCGTGATTGATGTCAAACATCCTGTAGTGGGCTCGAGATATCTTAATTTCATTACATAAGGAAGTAATGCTTAGTGTGTTCACTTCTTTGACGAGCCAAAGCCGATCATGTAATCATGTCTATGATGCGCCGAACAGAGTCCACACATGTGCAACCATGAATCCCATGAGTAGTTTTCCAGTTGTAAAATAGTTCACATAATCTATCAAGACTGAACGATTGTAAGATGAAAAACCTAATAGAAAAATTATGTTCAAGAGATTTCTCAGTTTAAAAACGTGTATGTACGGGGAACAGGCATACGTAGTAATTATGTACATTTAATAATGCAGTAATAATATACGTTACAGAAATCTATGGAATATAAACCTTAAAATGTTTTGGAGTATCTAGAAGATAGATATGAATTTTTGGAAAGGTAACATAATACAGTGTAAAAACGAATAATTGTCTTTTTGAAAACGAACAGAAGTAACGTAATTTTGCTAATAATACGCTACTCTTGTATGCAATAATTTAAGAAAAATGGAGTTCAGGATCTCATGCTAAATATTTGATCACGTACTTGTTAATGCTCTTACAAAACAATGTGGCATTATTTTAGCGTGGCCGCTGAAGATCGGGGGTTCAGAGCTGTCGGAAGAGTCATTTCCTCAAACTTATCGGTTTAGGGGGGGCGCATCCTTTCCCAGTACATGTTGACAGCCCTACTCTAGCCGTGTGAACATTTGACTTATCATGTTCGCGAGGTGCAAGCTCGTAGTTAGTTGCGTTTTCTACTAAGGTTAAGCATTTGTACGTGATTCTTAAAGTTCTGTGTAAGTGATTATTGTTCTGTTTGTGATTATTGAAATGCATCCGGTTCAGAACAAGTTGCATGAGAAATTCCTTCACAGTCAGACGCATGAAGTCGGTGAAAAAATATTTCAGTTTATGAAGAGAGAACCAAAAGAAAGTGTTAAAATTTCAAAGCAGTTATTGGCTGCTGCTAGGGGTGTTTCGACAAGATCTATTGGCAGAATTAAAAAGGAAACGGATTCTATTGAATAGGGGAGAATCGTGCTCATTTTCAGCTCCGAAAAAAAAGAAAGGAAGGGCGTGGAATTTACCCTCGACAGTTTCAATGAGAGTAATTCGCTACACAATGATTTAAATCACCGTATCAAGGAATTGTTATTTTAAAGAAAACTGTTCAAACGACAGTAATGACAGTGACAGTGATGCAACTTATGATAGTCAGAAAACAGGTATTAGTGTTGCAGAGCCGGGCTATCAGGTGAATTTGGTGTTTCTCCACCACCGAACAAAAACACTATAGCAAATTAATGTCCAAGTAAGTTCGTTAACTCATGCGGTAGGATACTGTTTTTGGTTTGGGCAGACGAACCAGACGCGCAACCTCCTGGCTCACTCCCCACCACTTTCAGCTTCCCCCTCTACTCGCGAATCCCAGCGGCCACCCTAGAAAAAATTAGCTTCAACACGTGAAAATTTAAATTGCTTACACCTCACCACTCCAACAATGAAACAAGTTGTATGTTTCTTTATATTTCTTCTTCTTCTTCCCCACTTCAAGAACACTTATGGATGAAATATCAATACTCAACCGTGTTCGGAAGCCGCAAGAAGGGCTATTGACCTTCCTACGAAAAACAACAATAAAAAACTAGCAAGTTCCAAGGAAACGAAGACGGGTCTAAGGGCCACCTACGACAGCCGAGGTTGGAGAGAGTCCCACTCCGACCTTAGCTAAATGAAATATGAGAAGAGGAACGGGCAGGTGCTCCAGGTAATCGTGTTGCAGCGGATTTGAAGAGTTAGGATGAGAGGGGAAGGGGAAGTAGAGGTGTATGAGAGTGAGACGAAAGGCTAAAAAGTAAGCGGATAAAATATGAGAACAATCAGTACAATAATATAATACGAATTTATATTTTTAAATCTTTGGCCCATTTCTCCGACGAACAGATTCATGAATAACATTTTACAGTTAACAAATATTTATTATCTTTAAAAAAATGCGATTTTCGAGGATTCATTTTTCACTATCATCAGGCTTACGAATTATACTAAATTCAAACAAGAATGAAAATTAAATTTAAAAAACGTTTG